AAAGTTCCGCAACCCCACTCGAACCAATCTCTCAAGCCATAACGATTTCTGGTCTGCATCACGGGGATCTTTACATAAGTGTCACCAGTGCCATATGCTGCTTTGTGGGAAGGAGCAGTCACATCACATCAGACTAAAATACTCTGATCCCAGGAGGTGCCCTTATTCCATCAGTAGCACAATACCACAGTCCCAAATAAATTTCCCTTTCTCTGGGGCCTGAGTGCACTTGTGGTAGCACTCCCTGCTTGCTTGAGTTTGAGAAACTGGTAACGCGTACCCCACTACTCCACAAAACGTCTGCCAAGATCCCTTTCTCCCCTGGGCTTTCTAACAGTTTCTTTTCACTTAATCTGATTAAAGGACTGTCCTGTCCTATGAGATCAGCTGCAGAGACCCTGAGGCAAAGGGGAAAGAGGTGGCCGGCCAACACTGTCTCGATATAGCAGAAAATAAAGAGGACAGTTCTGACTGAAGCGGATCAGGAAGGGGCATATGGGTGTGCGTGCAGGGAGGAGGGGGAATAAATTCCTCACTGGAATGGAAGAAGGGGAGAATACTAGATGATTAGAAACAATATTCTTCACCTTCCCACAGAGGATCTGAAATTGTAAGCTGTAGTTTTGGGGCTCCTTCTCATAAAAATAGTGGAGTGTACTCTATTTGTCCCTCTGGAGCACTGCTGGACCTTTTCTCTCAGCTTGTGTGGTTTTAGTTCCTATAGTTTCATAAAACTACCCTAGTAAAAAAAAAAGTTGTTTTAGAAAAACAAACAATGTAAATGCTGTAATTTAAGCAAATTAAATTCTGCAGTGATGGAGAAGAAACCTAAATACCTAGTAAAAATAACCAGTCTCTTTCATTTAAGGATTGGTGTTGTCTCTAGGGATGGGGAAGGAGGGAAATGTCTGTCTGATGTCTGGACAGTGGCAGGGATGGGAACGCAGCAATTATTCACCAGTTAGAAGGGTTTGGGGAGAAGAGGGCAATTAATTAACAATGCGATGTGTATTCTGTCAAATCCAATTGACAGTACCAAACAGAAACTCCCCATATAATCCAGCCTCACAAATTTCTGCTCCCCCACAAGTTACCAGAAAAACCCACCAGATAACTTTCAGCGTGGCTATCATCAGCATCAGTATCAGTATCATGTTAAAGGGTGAATGAGCAGATTTTGTGAAGACTCATAACTCCTTTTCTTTTCTGGGCTCCCTCCCTCTCTTTGGGAGAATCAACTTCAGAACCCATTTAAATTGAGCTACATAGAGATTACTCTCTCCTCACTAGCACCGAAACAGTTAGAGAACAGAATACATTTCTATTTAAACATGAACAGCAAGTCATCTAGCAGCATGCCTCCTCCTTCTTAGTTGATCTACAATGTGTAGAATACTGCACTATTTGGTCCAAAGTGTCTGTCTTTTTCATATGCAACAGAAAGAAAAGAAATATTTTCTATAACATTGCATTATTTTTTGAATTTCATGAACACTTGACAGTCATACTTAACATTTTAACTTTTAAAAGTTACATGTGATCAAGCCATCTTTCTTAGTCAAATTTTATATTTCTTGTATTTCCCACCTACTGGTTATTAGCAGGTAAATATCCAAACGGGAAAGACCGTGTTTGTGTAGAATCAAAACAATATTTAAAATATTCCACAAAACAGATCTTGATTTGTACAGTCTAGTGTAGAATCAGTCATTTATGGCACACCAACATCATTGTGGAGTTAAACAATGAGCACCAGTAACGTAGTAGTCAAGACAAGCTCACTTCCGGGAACTCTGACAACTGATGCTGAAAGTCCACCAATTCAATTCAAAGTACTACATTTCTGATAGGAATAGACTGTACTGAGAGAAGGCCTCCTGATCTCCTGCTTGTATTGGGCAGTTGGGTAGAGCTTGTACTCTAAGTGTCAAGCCTACTAAGTTATTATATTTGCCCCGCCAAAAAGGGGAGAAAAATATTAAAAATATCTGGCAATAAGTAATTACAAATCCACATTTAAAAAAAAAATCCTTCAGAAAAGATTTCACTGCCACCCACACTTGATAACATATGCTCTTCAGCAATACATTTCTAAGAAATAAGCATTCTGCATTTCAACTGTATAATGCAGTATTGGCCCCAGCTTTCAGCATTCCTCCTCCATATCTCAGCCTGATAGCATGCTTTAATGGTCACATGTTCTACCAATTACCAATGTTCTCCTCTACCAAAGAAACCTGCTGAATTCTGTTTTTGACTCGGACATTAACTTTCTCTGAGGTCTTGGGCAAGTCACTCAACTTTCATGCTCCAGTTTCCCATATGTGAAATTGGGATAATATCCATTTAGAGTGTTGTGATGATTGACTACATTTATCAGACTCTTTAGAAGAGGAAAGGTCTAAGTATTAATTAAATCAGGAAGATGGTATATCACTAGGTCTCATACTCTTATGAGGGGGAGATATGAATTGTGGTGCCTCCTGGATACAACTGGCATCCAGCTTTATACCTCCATCTCACCTGACCTGGTTGGTGCGGTTGAGCAATTTAGCCAGTGCCTAACAGACAACATGGCTTGGTTGAAGGCTAGATGGCTAAGACAACCCAGACAAAGGTTTGTAGGGTGAAGGTATGCTCCATGTGCTAGACTTGTAATCTTTTCACACTCAGGGCTAGATTATAGTTTGGATTATATGCCCATATAAGAAACACTCCCTTCCCTAAATCCCTGTGTGAAGGCTACCCAGACCGTGAGTAAGAATACACAGCACCAACTCCCTCGCAACCCCCCCCCCCATCCTCATAGAGAAGGTAGGCATGGAGTGGGTGGATAGTGAGTTCTACCCCAATGCTCTGGCCAGCAAAGCTGAGCCATGCCAGTGGGTATTTATTTTGAAGTCTTATTGTGCATGTTCTTACAGAAATTGTGCCTGCAAATGTACGAATGCTTTTACTATGCAATATACTTTTAGTAGGATTTAGCCATGCTCATGTAAATCTTATTAAGTTATAACTGAAATCCTGTGTGCTAATAATGCTTGCTTGACATTATCTCTAAGAACAAACTTCATTTATATCTTGTAATTTTTTAAAGTTAACCTTATAATGAAAAAAAAAAGAATGCTTGAAAGAAAAAAGTATCTTAAAAGCAAATGACAGATTTCAGAGTAGCAGCCATGTTAGTCTGTATTCGCAAAAAGAAAAGGCGTACTTGTGGTATCTTATAGACTAACAAATTTATTCGAGCATAAACTTTCGTGAGCTACAGCTCACTTCATCGGATGCATTCAGTGGAAAATACAGTGGGGAGATTTATATACATAGAGAACATGAAACAATGGGTGTTACCATACACTCTGTAACCAGAGTGATCACTTAAGGTGAGCTATTACCAGCAGGAGAGCGGGGGGATGGGGGGTGGGTGGGAACCTTTTGTAGTGATAATCAAGGTGGGCCACTTCCAGCAGTTGACAAGAACGTCTGAGGAACAGTGGGGGGTGGGTAGGGGGGATAAACATGGGGAAATAGTTTTACTTTGTGTAATGACCCATCCACTCCCAGTCTCTATTCAAGCCTAAGTTAATTGTATCCAGTTTGCAAATTAATTCCAATTCAGCAGTCTCTCGTTGGAGTCTGTTTTTGAAGTTTTTTTTGTTGAAGTATTGCCACTTTTAGGTCCCCCCAACCCCCTGCCCCATAAAAGTAAGTGAGGGTGGGGGACAGCAAGCGACAGAGGGAGGGAGGATGAAGTGCATGGGGTGGGACCTCGGAGAAGAGGCACGGGTGTTTGGGTTTGTGTATTAGACAGTTGGCCACCCTAGTGCCACTGCAGCAATCTGCACTCATGGGCAGATTTTCAGTATCAATATTGGCAACATAGGCAGATAAAGAATGTTCCTAACTGAAATACACACACACACACACACACACTCCCTCTCCACACACACAAGCCACTGAAGGCTTGAGTAGGCAGCTATCACTGGGGTGACCTTTTCTACAGGAGATTTAGGGGTTCTAAGCACCAAACCACAGAAGCCAAGCATTCAGCAGCAGACTATAGGTTGGGATGGGCAAACTACGGCCTGGGGGCTGCATCTGGCCCTTCAGATGTTTTATTCCAGCCCTCAAGCTCCTGCTGGGGAGCAGGGTCTGGGGCTTGCTTTGTGTGGCTCCCGGAAGCAGCATGTCCCCCGTCTGGCTCCTATGCATAGGGGCAACCAGGGGGCTCCACACACCCCCCGCCCGCAGCTCCCATTGGCCAGCAAATGGGGCCAATGGGAGCTGCAGGGGCGTCATCTGTGGAAGGGGCAGTGTGCAGAGCTTCCCGGCCATGCCTCCACGTAGGAGCTGGAGGGAGGACATGCTGCTGCTTCCGGGAGCTGCTTCAGGTAAGTGCCACATGGAGCCTGCACCCTGACCCCCTCCTGTGCCCCAATCCCTTGCCCCAGCCCTGATCCCCCTCCCACCCTCCAAACCCCTTGGTCCCACCCTCCTGCACCCCAGAGCCCATACCCCCAGCCAGAGTTCCCTCCCGCACCCTGAACTCCTCATTTCTGGCCCCACCCTAGAGCCTGCACCCCCAGTAGGAACCCTCTCTCGCATCCCAACCCCCAATTTCACAAGCATTCATGGCCCACCATACAATTTCCATACCCAGATGTGGCCCTCGGGCCAAAAAGTTTGCCCACCCCTGCTATAGGCACACTGCATCTAGAGAGCGAGAGCATGGCATTAACTGAATTCCCGGTTGCCCTTTCCAATGTTATAGGTATCTGCTACTCAGTAATATCTGTTTATTTCACTGGACTGAAGACAAGATGCTGCCACTGGCAAAAAAAAGAAAAATGGAAAAAGAAAGGAAAAAAGATCAAACAACTGCACAACAGACCCATAAACACATAATTTTGTTCATCAAGGTTACTAGAACGGACCATTTCTCCTAATACTTTGAATTCCCGCCCCCCCAAACAAATAGGAGTGAGTGAAGTTTACTTTACCTGTCGACTTCCCTGTTTGGAGGAGCAGCTGCTGGTACTTCTTGAAGGTGACAACACTTTCTGGGACATACCCAAGCTCTTTTCTTCACTCATGATCCCAGAGACAGTTTGTTTTGTGTCTATTCAGTTAGAACACCATCTGAAGGGAATTAAGCAAGTGTATTGGAAGACATGGGAGAGACATGGGCAAGAGTCATTGTTTACCCATATGCATTCCAATGGCATCCTTGGAGCCCCAAGAGAAACAAACCAAAAACACATGAGCCGCAGATATAGTCCACGTTACTTGGAAACATGAGAATTCATAAGAAAGTCTTTGGTTATGTAGTTGGACTGCACTACTATTTGTTATTAGAAATTAACTGAACAACTGCTTTAGGATAATTTTAAAACAAGTAGTTAGAGCCCACTGTCTTGTTGTTTCTCTCTGACATTTGAAAGTCATGATACCATCTGACTGCTTGTAAAGAACACAGTTCAAATGCAGCATCAAGCGTCTCTTTAAAGATTAAATTATCCCAAACCATGAGCAAGTTTATATTGCATTATTTATTTATATATAAATGTAGTGGAGTGGCTGCCCCATTCCTATCCTAGACGGGGCTTCAGCAGGCCAGGGAGGCGGTGCAGGTGGGCGGCCAATCAGAGAAGGCCTGCTAGGGAGCCAAATAGAGGCTGAGTTAGAGACAGCCAATCAGAGCCAGACTTAGCCATATATAAAGGCTGCTCAGGAAGGGAGTGGGTAGTCTCTCTTTGGTGGTCAAGGGAGGAGGACTGGCTCCTAGGCTGAAAGGTAGCATCTTGGACAGAGCAGTGCTGGGGAGCTCTGACCAAGGAAAACCTGAGGCTGCCGGCCTAGGCCAGGCAGGGGCATAGGGTTGAAGGGAAAGTGGCCCAGGGACAATAGCAGGGCAAAGGGAAAGAAGGAGGGCAGAGAGGCTGCTGCTATGGGTCCCGACCCAAGGACCCTCAGTAGCGTGGGGCCTGGGTCCCCCTCTTCCCCTTGTGCTACACCTGGCTGAAGAGGAGCGTGGCCTGATCCAGGCTGTGGCTGGTCCCTGCGATAAGGGGCTAGACTTCCAGGCTGCAGCCGGCCACTACAACAGGTACAGATTGTGGAGTGCTAGTAACACCAAATTCCTGGGAGGAGGTGGGACCGGAGCAGTGGGCATGGGCGGAGGGCAGTGTCCTGAAGAGGACCCTGCTGAGCAGGGAGCAACGAGTATCCCCGAAGCAACAGAGTGGATGAAGGGCAAGGCACCATGTGAAAAAGGTGCTCAATGACTGGACAGAGCTAATTCCCGGAGCAACCAGTGGGAGGCGCCAGCGGTGGTGAGTCCTAACCCCATCACAAGAAATATAAAAAAATACCTGAACAAGGCGATTACATAAAAACAAGAAATTCAGAAAGTTAGAAAAGAACAGAACCTTTGTGAATGGTGTGGAGAAACTAAATATCCCACAAAAAGGGAAAAACCAGAACACAATTAACTTCCCAGGTTCCTTGAGAATTTTGATACAGTGCACATTTGCAGCTCCAGAAGTTGCTTTCATTTTTAGTGAAGAATTGTGCAAACTTAGCTACTTACAGGTGGGCATGACTAACTGTACCTGGAGTTAGAAATTGGTAACTATATCACTTCTGTGACTGAGTGGCAGAAAGATTAATTAATAACTTGTCTAATAACAGTGGTGGTTGCAGTGTGAGTAAAAAAAACTTGATGGAAACCCCAAATGACGGATTTGCAGTGTTGGCAATGGTTGCCATGGCAATGGTTTTTCACCCAACAAAGGAGACAGTCATATATTTCAAAACCTGGGGAAAAAAAGTATTGTGCAAGTTGTGTATCACTTCATACTTGACAGCTCATGGACAAAGCAGCCTAAGAATTTCCAGGATAGGAGGAAGGGCTTAGAAAAGTAAGGAAGTTTCTACACAGTGGAGGAAGATTTATTGCTGATGTAAGTGCATGTGACTCCATTGCCTTAAATAAATCACTACCTTAAATAAATAGTTGTGCCAGCTTACACTCCAGTAGTACATTCGTCTCAGTGTGCACTGAGCAGGGGTTTTTTATTTTGTTTAATTTGGTTTTTTGAAATACATTCAGAGGCCAGATGAATTAGAGCAACCCTACTAAATGGAGAGGCCTAAGGCACACATTTTTAAAGAATCCAAGCTTCCTTTTTGAAAAAGCTAGTTTAAAATAAGGTCCAAACGTAACCTAATACAGTGCTGTCTTCCCCAGATCTTCAGACAATACCTCTGTGCTGCTATAAACCAGAATTTAGATATCAGAGGATCTTTTTGAAAATCAAAAACTTATTTTCCTCTAAGGAAACTTAATGGAAGACTTACTATAAAGTTTCTACCAAAATACCCCTTTTTCATCTAAACCACAGTATTTTTCTTACCTAATTCACCTTATATTTAAATGAGATACTTAGCCCTACCATTCTTTAAAGTCAAATTAAAACAAAGTCCTCACAAGACTGGATGGCTCAGGCATCTGATAATAGTCCGGGGGGAGGGGAAGGTTGGTTGTTTTTCATCTCCAATATAACATTTATCCAACAAAATAACTTGAGAGTTTTGTTTGCCAGCTAAATGTATTATTTTAAAATAATACCACACAGAAGACTGCTGACTTAATGTGCAAAGGTTAGTGCACTAGGAGTGCTGCAATGACTTCCATTGGTTATTTTTTTATTTTCCCCTGCCTTCCCTGTTCCTCCATTCATAAAGTGGATTTCAGTGACAGAAAACTTGCATCTTACTCTGTCTCCACATTTAAATGCTCACTATAGCACTTTTTACCCTAATTAACTCTGAGCCAGCTGCAATTAGGGTAAAAAGTGCTATAGTGAGCATTTAAATGTGGAGACAGAGTAAGATGCAAGTTTTCTGTCATTGAAATCCACTTTATGAATGGAGGAACAGGGAAGGCAGGGGAAAATAAAAAAATAACCAATGGAAGTCATTGCAGCACTCCTAGTGCACTAACCTTTGCACATTAAGTCAGCAGTCTTCTGTGTGGTATTATTTTAAAATAATACATTTAGCTGGCAAACAAAACTCTCAAATTATTTTGTTGGATAAATGTTATATTGGAGATGAAAAACAACCAACAAACCAGATTTTTGCCCTGAAAGTTAGTGTTAATCCAATTAAAGTGCTTTCATATCTACCTAGTCTATGTGCTGGAAAATAAGTCACTTAGTTTAAACATCTTTTCCACCATATAAAAATTTAAATTGTAAAGTGTCACAGAAAACTATGAAAACATCAGCTTTAATCTGACAGTCTAACATAGTTCCCCAAAGGTAAAAGTCATCTATATAGAAAAGAATTGAATACAAACATGAGAAATATTGGTAGTGTCTTTTTGGAAGAAGATACCTGTATTTCCAAGGGATTACAAGATTCAGTCTTGAAGGAGAAAAGACAAATCGTAGTATTATGTATATACTGTTAAGTTTCTAGGTTGCCTTTTGAAGAAAATGCTTGTAGAAGCAGTTCTGATGGTTAAAGTACCAGTTTATTAAACTCCACTGGAAACAAAAAAAACCCATAATTAAAAAAATAAACAGGCTGTATTCATCAAAACAGGTTTCAGCTAGAGCCTGACTGGAGCTTACTTAGACTGTAACCTCTATGAGGCAGAGACTTCTTTAGTTAGGTGTTTGTACAGTATCTAGAGCAAGGAGGTTCTGGTCCATGACTGGGGCTCCTGAGAGCTACTGCAATATAAATTTATTCCCCTTACCTAAACCCTTCCTTGAGTCCTGGGTCAGGCTTTCATAGTACCTAGGCACCACTATTTTAATGAAGAAAGTTAAGTAGGTTATTTACAAACTAGCTTCAAAAAGCATAAACCATTTAAAGACCATTTGGTAGCTGATGGATAATGCTTGTAGTTAATCACCCATGAGAAAAGACAGTACCTATTCTAATCCAAAAGGAAACAGGAGAATTAGAACTTAAGGAACATTGCACTAGAATAAGTCTGAGGCATATTTTTCTTTGATATTTTCCTTAATGTCAAGCTTCTCGTGGAGCCAGACAAGCATGTCTGCTGTTTCCTTAACCCTTGGGTTGATTCAGTCTTTCATATTAGCAAGATGTTACATACATTCGGAAGTCAGTCAATGTGCACTCCCTAAAAATATTTAAATTACCTCCTTCCTGCCCACCCCAGAAATTGAGTATTTGATGTATGGTGTGACAAGGATAATTGTGAATGTACTATACAGGCATTAATTTTTATCCAAGGAGCTATCCAACAGATGTGAAACATATTGCATATATAGTTTGCACTAATCTGTAAATAAAGAAAAAAACCTGTCAGACAAAATTGCAAGTTGTAATGACTGTATCATACATCTAATCAACTCACTCATACTAGCCATATGATCCAATTGATAACGTGTTTTCATTTTCAGCTACATTTAAGTAATATGACCAAAGTTACCTCCAGCCAGTCTTAAGCCTTAAGAGTTTAAAATATCCTTTTTAAGACTCTTGGCTAGTGGTAGGCAGCACATTGCACTATAACGTGGAAGGCCACCAGAACACAAGAGAAGCCTCCAGACCATCACTTGACAGCTGATACACAAGATACATACAGCACTCAAGGCTGTTACATAAATAGGGAACCCAGACAGAATTATTCTGAAGCACTCCCTTGCAACCAATTAATGCAGAGGTACCAAAGACAGCCGCAGCAGCAAGTGCATTTCTTACCCTCAGCTAGAGGCAGTGCCTTACTAGCAGCAAGAAACAGAAGATAAGGGAGCATACAGGAGAACAATGTGTAGTTTTCAGTGAGGAAAGCACATTTGAAAATGATGTAACTCTTTAGGGCATACACCCACCTCATCTACAGTAAGAACGCTCTGAAGCAATCACTTATGATACTTAATTATTAGAACCCAGAGATGGGTTACAAATGTAAAATGTTTACCACTAAGCTTCCAGATTTCAGAAGTGGCTGGCTGCTTTTTTTGGGGGGGTGGGGTGGGGAGTCATCGCCTACTGTTTAAAAAGGAGTAGGCCTTGGGAAATAATGGAAGTAGTGTATCTAATGAACAGAACTAAGTTTTAAAGCAGCAATCTCTCCCTCATCCCAGATTTCTAAA